TATCGTTAATAAGGGAGTGTGTGTTCGGCGAGTCTTGGCCTACACCTGCCGATATAAAGGAGATGTCCTGACCTGTCTACCTTCCTGGAAAGGACAGAATGGACGATGACCTAGGAGGACAACTCTTCGGGAAGATGTACAATGAGTCACACGTGGCCTAAGTGCTGTGTGCCTACACTCACCCTCCCTACTCTACAGATACAGATACAGTAAGATATAATCACCAGGTATAACCTAGCATTTTTAGTGACAACTTCACTGATGTATCACAATAATCACTGCCTAATACTTTTTTCAAAGTCATTCAAGTAATCTTTAAAATGTTCAACTTTGTATCTTGGACAAATTGTATAGTCCACTTTCGTTTTATAATTTTGATATTCAAGAATAACAGTACCTGAACATCGTTTAATGAACATCGTTTGATACTAACAATCGAAACGTTGTGAAGTAACTTGGTTTGGAATCTTTCAATTTTTAATTTTCATTTCTTGTTAATAATAATTCAATTTTTTCGCTCGTGTTATTAGTTCATTTTTTTGGTTGTTGCTTGTATGTTATTTCATTGTTATTTCAGTTTTTTGCTTAATAAAATTGTTATTTTTCAGCTAACCTTTTTAATTTTTTACAGATTCTTTCAGGGATTTCAAATCAGTTTATATCAGATTTAACAATGGAAGTCTGAACTAAACAACTGCTCCACCCATATCAAATCCAGAAGGTACATGCCATGACAGATTTTTCAGCACGATTGGAATATGCCAATTGGTTCATGGATAAGCAAAGCAAGGATATGACTTTCATTCATCGAGTTTTATTCACTGATGAAGCAGGTTTCAGTAGAGATGGAGTTATCAACTCTCATAATCTGCACATATGGGCCGTAGACAATTCCCATGGGATATCGCAAACCAAACACCAACCAACACATGACCGATTGAATAGTGAACGTTATTTGGAGTTCTTTCAGAACGATTTGAATGTACTTTTGGAACATGTTCCATTGCAAACCCGAAGAGATATGTGATTTATGCATGATGGCGTCCCTCTTCATTTTAGTTTGATTGTGTGATCTGAACCATTCTCTCCACAATAATAAATCCCCGGATTTAAATCCATTGAATTTCTTTCTATGGTGGCACCTGAAAGGGCTTGTTTACGCTACACTTATTAACACAAGAGATGTCTTGAGTTTTGTTAATTTACCGTGTTATGAACATTTGACCTATCATTTTTATTTTCATTTAAAATTGATCTTTTCGAATAATGGTAGACATCTCAAGTTGGATTTTAACGAACAAAAGTGCATTTTTATCAAAAATCCTTGCTCCGATCAATTTTTCACACGTGTACTTTTATTCAGAAAATTATCGAAGTAACCTGATTTTGTTGAAAAATATTGATATCTGTCATTTCAAAGGTTTGGGGTATGGACCATCGGGGGCAACGATTATGGACATACAGGATTCTGCCATAAGACTGTGCGTTATTTTAACATTTTTTAATGATTATTTTTGGACAGTATTACATTGTGTTTGTATATTTTGTTTAAATTTTTATTTAACTATACCAATTACGTTTCTGAAACATTGAGTTTGTTATTGTGAAAGTCGTATTTTTTTGTGCTTTCGGACATTTTCAAACTGGTGTAACGAGTAGACGCCATATAAGACTCTGTTTTTTCTTCCGTTTTGAGGTTTGTTTTTTGCCATTGTGGAATGTTTTTTTTGTTTTTTGAACATTTTTGAATTAAATTAAGGTAAAAATTGGAAATATTCACATTTTTGTAAGTAATAGAAATAATTATCTAACCATTAAATAACCTTGTAATTTTTAGTTAAAATATCTGGTCGTATTTGTGCAGTGTCAATTTGCAAAAGCAATCAGTTGCCTTTAAAGAAAAGTGGTGTTACTGATGTAATATTTCACTCTTTTCCTATTGCTAATGATAT